ATATCTAGGTTCCATCCTTTGAGCCACCCTAACGTTCAACTTGACCCCCCAAAAGTTAAGCAGTTCCTCACCAGAGCAGAAGCACTGCAGAGAGGAGGGTACACTTCTAGGCCAGTGGTGGCGACCCTACAGCACCTCTGCCGTAGTAGGGTGTTTGCACCACTGAAAGTTCTAAAAGTTTACCATCACTGTTCTAGGAACAGGCGTCCCAGAATGAAAGAAGCCCTATATGCCGCAGTGATCCTATTTCTGACATCAATCTTATTACTTCATACTCATAATTATTTACTTTCTATGACTCTGTTAAGTAGGTTATACATTTGGTTCTATTTCATAGGTAAGGAGACTGCAGATCATAAAACTAAATTATTTACTTAAAAAAAAAAGCAGGTTAATGGTAAACCTTGGACTGTAACCCTCAGACTATTTCACTGATTATTCACCTCTTTATCCTAAATCCACACTTTTACCAAAGCTTTCAAAGAAAAAGGCAAAAATGCTATTTTATTAAACACTTAAGTAACAAGTTCTCCTTCACCATCACACCACCTCCTGGTTCACTTCTGAATCTTGTAGGGACCTTTGGTGTATGAAATTTGAACTTTCCAAGAAGTATCCTGTTGGGGCTGAACAACCCAGTACTGTTTTCAGGTGACAAATAACCTTGCTCTTGTTTAAACATCTGTGATTGGCATGTCAGATGGCTATTAACAATGAACAAAGACCATATTTTTCTGCAGCTCATCTCTTCTTTAAAAAGAAACATAGTGTACTAGTTTTTTGGGAGAGGTAAAACCTGACTTGGTGTTAAGACTCAGGAAGAGAAGGGACCCTTTTCAGTTCAGCAAACATGCACAAGACACCATTCCACTGAAAGGAGTTCAGAAGAACAAAACACTGCTTCTGCCCTGAAAGGACTTTCTGAACACCTTTTAATATCATGGGTTTAATATACTTTTTTAATTAATCCTATTAGCTGGGTAATTTCATTCCCATTTTATTGTTAAGTTAATATTTGTATCCAGGATTACAGAACAGGGCTCCTCCAACCCCAAACACTAAACAGTCTTAAGAAATTTAGGCTCTAAAACTGTGGGTCTGATGGATAACATATGATTGGATTTCCTTTCCTTACTCCAACCGCGTTAGCAAGACTTCTGGAAATATCCAACCGTAAAGAAGCTTTGTAAGAAAGCACTTCGAATCAACGTATTCACTTTTCCTCACCCGCCTCTGCCCCACCCCCAACCACGCCAAAAAAGCAGCAAACGCTGCTGCCAGGTTGGAGGAGTTGGCGATCGTCACACCACATTCCTGGGTCTGGACGCCGACTCAAACAGCAGAGCTCCGCGCCTCGGAAAGAATAACAGCAGTTGAGATTTTAACTCATGGGGCTCAGCATGCAGCCACACCAGTTTCCCCACAGCTCCAGCCTCCACCTTTCAATAAAGGTGGAGAAACACGCCCGACTCATCAACACGCCCAACTGCTGGGGACCGCCGTTCGGCTGCAGTGTCAAACTCCGGCGCGCCCCAGACCCCGTCCCACCCCCGCAAGCCCACCCACACGCAGGCTGCGCGCTCGGCCTCGGCAGGAGCGAGCGCTCGCCCTCAGCCCTGCCCCCGCAGCCCGCTGCGCGCCGCACTCGGGCATTCCTTCGCGTGGCGCGTCCGCGGCCCGGCCCCCGGGCCCCCGGCCCAGAAGCGCGCCCCCAAAGGGGCATAACTGCCCAAGACCCCGAGGCTAGCACTCGGAAAAGTTCCTTTCTGAGACTCGCTGCGCAGCCTCGCCCCAGCCGGGGAGGCGTGTGCTCGGCCCCGGCTCAGGGGAGCGCGGGGGCGGCCGCCACGAGCCGCGGCCCACGATGCCCCAACTTTCGGGAAGCAAGTGGCCGAGCCCGGTCTTGCTGCGGAGAGGGGGTCGGCGCGGGGCGGCGGTCGCCCCAGGCGGCTGGCTGGGAAGGGGGCGGCAGGGCGCGGCTGGCGCGGGGACAGCGCCCCTCGCCCGATACTCACCACGCGCGGGGTCCGCTCGCCACAGCCACAGCACCAGGAGCGCCCCCAGAGGAGCGGGGCGCAGGGCGGGCATCTTCTCGGTAGCCTCCTCCGCCGCCCCCGCCGCCGCCGCCGGGGCAGATCCACATGGGGAGGGGGTCCCGACCAGAAACCCCGCGGTCTTCCCCCTTCTACCGCTGCGTCTCCGGGCCCGGCGCTGCGTCCCCCCGCTCAGACGTGCACGCCTCGAAGGCCGCCCCCGCGACTCGGCCGCTCGCCGGCCGCCGCCCGAAGTTTGGCTGAAACTTTCTCGGGTGTGCAGCGAAGCAGCCTCGTGTGTCCTTCCGCCTCGGCCGCCTCCTCCCACCGCAAGGCCCCGCCCCCTGTCGCCCGGCCCTGGCCGCGCCGCCCGGGCACCCAGGGGTTTCCCGCAGGAAGAAGCGCCGGCCCGAGCTCCGCGCGGAGGGATCTACTACGGGTGTTCACCCTGGCCCCCCAAGCCTCCCCAAGCCGCGCCGCCTCAGACGCCCCTGCCCCGGGTCCGCGCGGGAGCCCCGGCTGGGCCGTGTCCTGTAGCGCAAGCCTCTGAACTTTAAACACTATGGTCTGCCGGGATCCTGAACTTGCAGGAAGAGGTAGACCTTGTGCCTCCACACTTTGACACATTCCCTTGCTAGGCAGAAGAATGTGGTAGAGAAGGACCAGTGCTGTCAAAGAAGGAAATAAGGGCTCAAGTCCACTTAAAAGAAAGAGCAGTCTACTGGGGGGAGGGGGGTCAGTCTTCATTCATGCATTCATTCATTCATTCATTCTGTAGTACGCTTAGCAAATCTTAAGTGCCTTACTTTGTGTGGCAGCATGTTTGGGGACAGAGAAGTAATAAATAAGATGTACTAAGACCTCTGCTGCGGGCTAGGGGATTCAGGTAAGGGTTTCATGGAGCGGCTGTGATCTTAAAAGGATCTTAAAAGGTCAACAAAATGTGAAGACGAGCTAAGGATATTCAGTGTAACATTACAATAGCTGGAAAGTGGGAATAACATAAACGCCCGCTCTAAGGGTACTAAATGCATAATACATACTTATAAAGTGCAATGCAGCAACTGAAAGGACTTTCTTCATTTATGTTGATCAGGATAAATCTTGAAAAATAAGAATAGTGAAAAACTAATTGCAGGGAGGTAATTATGCCATTTGTGTATGTCTAAGCTTTTTTTAAAACAACCTATTATTTGTGGATGCAGATGTGCATGTAAAAGGACACCAACTAAATAGCGATTACTTCTAGGGCAGGAGAATGGGGATATGATCTGGCCTGGTTACAAGAAGGTTTGTAGGAAAACCTAAAATTAACAGTGACTACAAGTTGGGTAGGAGTGTTATTCCAAAGGAGAGCCGTTATAAAAGCAAAGATACACACAAGGGAATGCATTGATGACTTCTGGCACTGTCAGCAGTTCAGGCAAAAGAAGGGAAAGGGGACTGGGACCAGGAGGACAACCTGAAAGGGGTTGAGGTGTTGTCCCTCTGGTAGTAGAAAATCATTCAAGATTTTTGAGCAGGAGTGACACTTAATGGAAAGAAAAGTTGCTCTGCTAATCCTGTACAGAACTGATCGTCAGGAGAAAGAGCTGAGCTGGAACCACAAGACCAATAAGGAGTTTGTGAAACAGTCCAGCATGGATGATGACGCCCTGAACTAATGAGGTAAATGGCAGAATGAAAAGGAATTGACGGTTCTGAGAAAAACTTGTGGGGGGAGGAGAAATGGGGGGACATATATAAGGCTAACTGGATGTGGGAACTTGCAATCCTGTTGGGATAGGAAATCCTACCCATAGAGCCTCTCCCTGATGCTATGGAACAAAGTTCAAAGCTCTAAATCTGGTACAGACAAAGACCCCCCTTATAAGACCCCATCTTCTGCTCTCACTGCCCCCATTGTGAACCGAATAAAGAAACAATATTGAACAATTTGAGATTCCTCAAACATATCTTGCTGTTTCATATGCTGTACCTTCTGTTCCCTTGGCTTGAAATGACTCTTGTAGTTCCCTTGCCTCCTCCTCTTGATGAACTTGTAATTATCATTCATCCTTTAACACTAAGGAGGCTTCGCTGACACTGTAACACATTCCTACCTCTGAAGAGACAATCCCTCCCCTGTGCTGCTTCTTTGTCATACATCAGTCTATTTTTCATACAGGACTGTTTGTCCGTGTCTTCTCAACTAGATTAGGAAGTCTTTATGGGCAAAAATCTTGGCCTTATTCATCCTCAGTGTCTATCACACAATAAATGTTGGACTAAAATATAATACAATACTAAGCAAGTTCAAGTCAGTATGAAAATAGGCCTAGAAAGTTCCCAAACTAAAATTTTATAAAGTACTTCAAAACAAGTCAACCATCCTATTACTGAAAGTAGTCACCTACAATTGCTAGAAATTTTTCAAATATAAAATAATCAACTGTGCGTGGTGGTGCACACCTGCATCCCAGGACTTTGGGAGACTAAGGCAGAAGAATCACAAATTTGAGCCCAGCTTGAGCAATTTAGCAACTTACAATAGCCTGTCTCAAAATAAACCAAAGGCAAGAGAGAGGAGGAGAAGGATTCAATGCAAAAACCTTGAGTCTAACCTCTATTAATCCACCCTACAAAAAAACCATAATTAGTCAAAATAGTTTTGGAATTTCACTTGTGCAAAAATGTTTAAACAAAGATTAATAGCACTAATTTTTAGTTGTTAACCTACAGTATTACCAATCTGATCATCCTTTTTACTCATTAAAGATATGTCATAGTAAATTGGCTGTCTACAAATTTTAAAATTCAATTGCAAGATCAGTTTTGTCATCATTGAAATATCTTGAAAAAGATAGGATACTTAACCCTGAAGAACAGCTACAAAACCTTGTCTCAAAAACAACTGCAGTTATGACATTATGAAAATGGATGTGTGGTTCCTCAAAGTTACTATTTTAAAGAAATCAAACTATTCAAAGTCTCATTCTAGATTACAATGGGCACTGTCAATTGGTGTCCAAAATATGTGGCTAAAACTGAGACACAAGTCATGCTTCCATCACAGTAAATGTTACCATGGTGACAATGAGACTTGTAACATTTTACCTAATAATGAAAAATATTGACTTTCAGTATTATACATGAATGGTTAGTAATATAGACTCTAGATCATGTGACAAAATACCAATGCTATGTACAATTCAAATTCTAGACTCCTCTAGAATTCAAGTTGCCAGAAGAAATTTGGATGATAAGATCCCAGGAATTTTAAAGTTCTCATTATCCATAATTCATTTTACTCTTTAAAATTCCTGGGATCTTATTATTCAAATACAATTTTAAGGGTAAAAGAATTGTGGCAAGGTTGATGGAATGACTGGATTAAGCATCAAATTCCTTTAAAAAGGGCTATTTTGAAGACAATCTCATTAAAGTGACCTTGAGTATTAAAGAAGTAACATGTGAAATTCCTTAAGTAAAAATTTATTTAATTAAAAAAAATAAAACTATTATGTTCTCATATACCTTCCACTTAATTTGTTATGCTATTAAACTTAGTGTATAAATTCTGCTAAGGATAAAAGGAATAAATAGCACTGTATGAACAGGAGGAGAAAGCTATGACTGAGTAGGTGTTTTGAAAGAAATTGAGATTGGGAAAAATTAAGAGATGACAGAGGCCCAACCCATCAACTCACATTTTAATGGATACTTATTTTGGACCAGATGGGGGGGGCGGGGAGTTGAAGGATAACAAGAGACAAGTAAGGCTGGGCAGGATAGGTATGCCTATAACCCCAGAGTTTGAGTGGCTGAGGCAGGAGGATCGTGGCAAGTTCAAGGTCAGCCTGGGCTACTTAGCAAAACCCTGTCTCAAAAAAACAAACAAAAGACAACTAAAGAGAATTAAGACTCAGTGTGACCAGCAGAGTGATATGGGTTCAGAGCTGAGGACCAGGAGTCCTGTCTTAGCCCAGAGACAGTCAGGGAAAACTCCCAGGAGGAACCAAACAACTGGACTAAGAAGTAGAGGACCAAAGAACTACTTTAATCAGATGGTGTAGAAGTGACTTCTTCACTTAGAGGTTTAAAGTTGCTCCAGGCACAGGCACTATGTATAGAAACAGGTATATAGAGGTCAGAATTTGTGGCCTGAACTTGGAAGCAAAGAACTCAGGTGACTGTTGTGGGAATGCAGAAAAGATGGACTTGGCTCCTTAGAGGAGTAACTGCGTGGAGAGAAGAAAGGCAGATCTAAGAGTCACCAACAACCTCAGCACCTTGGGCCATGATGAAGCTATTCTCAGATTTCAGATATAAAGAAGAAAGAAAGGACGGATGATAGAGAAGAGAAGGAGGTAAGGTATCAACATAAGTGGGGGGAGGAACACTGTCAGCGTGGCTGTCTCCTGCCTTAAGGACAGCTGGATGGACAGCCGATGAGCAGCATAGACTTTCACTCTTACAATGGCCTCTTCCCAAGGTTAAACGTAAATTCCACCCAGTGCATCTATTTCCCTGATCCCTACCAGTGGTATCCTAAAACTTGAGTAGCAGCAGAAGATATAAATGTGAAGATCTATCTGGAGAGGCTGACCCCAAATATCACCTGGACTGCAGAATGATCTTCCACTAGAGATAGTCAAAGTAAATCCTGCTTTATCTGAGAGATGGGCAGGAAAGCACTCAAGGGCTCCCGTCACTAATCATGGCTGTTGCTAATGGTGGGAGCTCACAGTTTCATTGATGCAAACAAAAATGACATCCTGCATACTCATCCGTTAAAAAAAGAAAAAAAAAACCCTTAGTCTCCAGGGCCCTGTTAAAATTCACAGACCATTAACAGAAGGCAAATTTGAAGAAGAACTACAAATAGTTCTAATTCTAGTCAAAATTTTAATATATATAAATATGGTTTTAATAATTAAAACACACATAAAACCGCCTCCAAAAGCAAATGTAACATTGGGCACTTATTTTTTATGATATATGTTTTATCAGAATCAATAGTGCAGAGATAGTGGCTGCTTTATTTTGCTCCAGTTTCTAACACAGTGGTGTACATAAGTGCTCAATAATATATTCTTAAGTAAACACTGAATGAAAAGGAACATAGATGTCTATATAAATTAAAAGATGTATGACTAGAAGAAATTCTAGGAGTGGATTCTCAGACTGAATCAGTAAGACACTGTAGATACTGAAGCAAGATTCTGAGGGGAGTATCACGTATAAGCCGAGCTGTGCCCCTTGTGTCACCACATAACCCGGGAATCCAAGGGTGTGTGATGTTTGTGGAAGCAGAAATTATTAGGGAAGATATCTTTTAATAACACCTTGCATTCGAGCAGTCTTCAGACTTTCCAAAAGATATTTAAATATATTATCTCACTTGATCCTCAAAGCAATCGTGGGAAATAGGCAAGCCAGTCATTATTATCCCCATTTCTCAGATGAAAAAACTAAGATAAAGTGCCTTGCCCAGGATTAAATAAGTAATTAGTCATAGAGTTGAGGCAAAATCTCCATAGTTTCCAGCTTCTTATTTAGTCTGATCCCCCTGCCTCTTTGCCTAACAACAGGAAGAACATCCAAGATAATATTTGACATAGGGACCTCGCGCAGAGGGCCCCCTACTTCCACACTGGTCAGACCAAAACAAATATACTATAGCCGGGAAGCCTAAACAAGTTAATACACTCATTCGTTGTTTTTTGGGGTTTTTTTTTTTTTTTTTGCCTTTTTCCTTTTTATGGGTACCGGGGATCGAACTCACGACTGTCTGCTTGCAAGGCAGGCACTTATGCCACTGAGCTAAATCCCCAGCCCCCACTCATTTGTTTTAAATAATTGGTATTTATTTTTGTTTTTGTCTTGTTTATTAGTACATGTTTGTAGTATATAATGTTTATGTTCATCCTATGGAGCAGATAAATGTACTTAGCATAGTTTAATTCTTTTTCCCCCCTTCCCTTAACCCTTTCCTTCCTCCTTCTATCTCTGTATCTATGAAATAAATCAAATATGTAAGTTTAAATACCATTTGGTTTCTCTCAGATAAGAAATCCAAAATATAAATAAAGAGCAAAACAAACAACAAATGAAAAGGAAACAGGAAGATAGATCTTTTGCAAATGGGAAAGGGACCAAGGGACAGAAGGACAGGGTATGGGCATAGAGAAGGGGGAAAGAATTGAGGTTTGTTGTGTACACTTTCAATTACCCACAGTGAGTGTAATCATTACATGTTACAAGCATGAATTAAAAAAATGAAATTGCACATTTTTTGAGAACCTCACCGTGCAGACTACTGTGTCCTTGACTCTATGGCAATACAGACTTCTAGAAGACACAGCCTCTGCTCTCTAGAGAACACAGTGCATTGAGGGAGGCCTCCAAACGATAATATAACCTCAACAGAGATAAAAAGCACATGGCCATGGGAAAGTAAAGAACACTATGATTAATTTCAAGGCCAGTAATATTTCATCCATTCCCCAAGATAGGAACTGAGTGGCTGACATAACTGATACAAAATAGTGTAAAGACAAGGTCTCCCATCCATCTTTCATCTTTGTAAACTCCACAATAGTTGGTTCTTTGTCTTGAGTCGAGTAAGAGTTCAACAAAGATACATATTCCAGAAGTTCAGCAAAATTCAGCCAAACAGAGGATTAAATCCAAAAGGCAGGAGCTCCCTCAAGATTCAGTCTAGCTCTGAGAATGAGAAGCCAGCTAGACCCTTCCACTGAGCATAGACCCAATGGTCTGCTCTGATTAAGCACGTAACATAAATAGCTGTCATTTTGGCTCCTTGATATATTTTTACCCTTTCACACATGCATATCTACATTTAATGAATGTTAAAGGAAGGAAAATGTAACTTTGTTATTACATAAGGATTTATTTCTCATGTGTACATAGTAAATGACAAATGATATGTATAAAGTTTAACTAGTAATTCAAAATCCTCTGCTACTCAGGAGATAAGCAAGAAAATTTTGTATAAGAATGTGCACTTTAGGGGCTGGGGATTTAGCTGAGCAGCATAAGCACCTTCCTGGCAAGTGCAAGGTTGTGAGTTCCATCCCCGGTACCACAAAAAAAAAAAAAAGAATGTTCACTTTAGCACCACTTGACTTGAAATTTTTCCTTTGCTCTTTTACACTGGAAGGTATTATACTTTACTTCCTAAATGTTTGTGTACTTTTCATGTATAATTATGTAGAAAGGGGACAGACCTGAATGTACCAAGACATCTTATTGCTGAGCACCATAAATCCACAACTGTGTAGTGTTAAATCACAATATTATTAGATGAGTCTCAGTGCTTCAGTCAGTGAAATGTTTATACAATTCTGAAATTTTATGAAATGCTATGGCATATATATATATATATATATATATATATATATATATATAAATTCTGTGACAGTATCTCTCTGTGTAGTTCAGACTGGCCTCAAATGCACTATGTAGCACAGGCTGCCCCCAAACCCACAGCAATCTTTTTGCCTCAGCCTTCTAAGAACTGGGATTAGAGGTATGCATCTCCATGCTGGCAATATTTCACTTTCATGGTTAGCCAAGAAATTCTTGAGCAGTGAGATCCAGGCACCCACAAAATTTCCACCTTAAAATATAGAAAATCTTCATATCATCTAGGAGCAGATCATATCTAAGTGCACTGAAACAGAACAGGAACATATGCTTAGTATGTGGAATTCCAAAATGCTTAAGTGAGATCGAGAGTGGAACATCACAGGTAATGAAGGGAAATCTCATTTATACAAGTTAGTATTAAATCGCCTTCTAAGTAAATAATTCATCCAGAGATAATTAATGGCCAGTAATAGGTATTTATAAAGGAAGCATACATGGCCTTAACGATGGGGTTCACTTCTGAAAGCACTCTAATTAAAAAGGGAAAGAGTAATTTTATAGGAAAGTACAAATCAGTGGTGTGTTTGTCTGCTAATGTGTGTAAAAGAGTTAGAGGTGGTAATTGCTGGGCTCAAACCAGGTATCTGTTGCTGAAGATAATGGACATACAAATATACAAATAGGGTTTCTCTAAGGCTACAAATATGTCAGTATTTTTTTTGTCACTCTGGGGTGGGATGTGAAATTGAATTCATCAGGTAAGTGGTCATTGTGCCTGAATATTCAGGGTAGCGCCATGTTTTTGTTTTTAATCATTTTAATCTCTATTAGCATTGTACAATATGATACTCTCATCCTTCTCAGCCCTTTGCTCCAATCATCATTCTCTCAACTCTTTGACTCCTTCCCTTTCACTCACTGAATGTCTAAGCAGGAATCAAAGAGTAGATGGCGGCAAGGCAGAGAGTGTTTCCCACATTGAGTTTTATATCTGAGTCCAGGAAGGTCACCTCATTGCTGAGAAGCGCTTTACTGACAGTTTGCACCTTTGTTGGTCTCTTTTGCAAAATAGAGTTACTCCAAAAGAGACTTCCTTAATTGAATGCTTATGGCCTGGGATCCTTGACTCTAGATTGATGACTGTCAGTTGAGGGTATTTACCAAAGGGCATGGATGGGTGGAGAGAGAATTTTGAAATAAGGCAAAGAATGAAAAGGTAAACACAGGTCCAGGTAGACTTCAAGTACTGGAATTAGGAAACAATGTTTAAGTTTCAAAAAGGCAAACCTGGAACCTACAGAAGGCAGTGTGTGGAGTTCCCTACTCATCTACCGTTTGGGGCTTGAGGAGAAAAGGGAAGTAGGAAGGGTTGAGAGAAGAAAACCAGAACAGAAGAGTGAGAGAGGAAGGTGAAAGGGTGCTCTGGAGCAACACACACCTGTGTGGAAGTGAGGAAGTAGCCCAAACAAGCAAAAGAAGAACCAACAAGGAGTTCTCCCTTGCACATCCCCCTTGCCCTTCCTGAAGGCCTGGGGTGAGCCCACAGCCCTGTCCTAGCAGAAAGAGAAAGACCAGCCCTCAGGATCCCACCCTGAATTCTCTCCAAAGAATTCAACATACCCCCAGTCCAAATCAGTTTTATCACAAATATTCACAGAAGCAGCGGTAACAGTAGTAATGATAGTGCACACAGCATTGATGAAGTGCCTGCTGGATGTCAGGCACTATGTTATGCACTTCCCTTGCTGTAAAGTAGACATTACTTGCCCTTTGCAGGGAACTGAAACCAGAGAAGTTTGCCCAAGGTCATACAGCTTCTCTGTGGCACCAAAATTCAAGCCTAAGTCCATTTGACCAACCCTAGTGCACAAGATTGACCTCGGCCTGGTACCACTTGTCCACTGGTGCCTTCCTCAAAGATCAAATCCCATCCATTGTTAGATGACCAGTCAAGCACTAAGCTTTCTTCTAATTGCTGTAAACCTAAGTCTCCTAGGTTTATTGGGGGACAAGAGCTTGACCACCTACCTCTTCATGTCTCCCTGTAGCACACAGTACTCAGCCTTCTGCTAGTCAGCCTCCAACCCTGGAGTAACTCAAGGACGTTTTTCCTTCCTCTGCCAGCCACGGGGGAGATCAGACAACTCGGTGTTTTGAAATATTCCTAGTGAAAGACAAAATCGGTAACGAACCAATTCATTTATTGTCACAATTTTAATTATAAATATAAAAAATTTATTTAAAAATAAAGGAAAAATTACCTCTATTATCACCCACTGATCACATTTTGGTATGTTTTATTTTCTCTTTCTTGTACACATTGTTTGTACAAAGTGGTAATCTCTGTACAGTTCTTAACTTGCTTTCTCAGGTAACTCATGTATTATATATTTTTTCCTTTGTTACTACATAGTTGCCTGATGTAGCACATGTATTGTCTGCAGAATATTCCTGTGCTGATTGATATGTAGAGCTAGAATACTTTTTGTGTTAGTATTGGGATCTGTGTACATAAATTGTGCATCTTATTGAAGAGAGACATTTTGGAGATGATAACCCACATACTGCTCCTATTACCAAAGCAAGTTGAGTGAATGGTGGGCCCTTCTTTATCTTGAAACAGGAAGAATCTCCTGCTACCTGACAACTTGCCCCTCTGTAGCATTTACAAGCCTTGTACCACTCTTCTCTTTCCCTCTTTCTGTTCCCTGTTTCCAGCTAAAAGCTTCACTTCCTGCTTCACTGAGGACATTTCCTAACTTAATTATCATATCCCCTTTAAAACCTATCTGGGCCAGGGCTGGGGATTTAGCTCAGCAGCATAAACGCCTGCAATCAGGCCGTCCTGAGTTTGAAATATGTGCACAAGTAACCATTACAGGATTGTCTACAGGAAGTTGGAAATATTATAGGCCCTAACAATGAGTTTAATCTTGCTAGGCATACACTACATACACTAGTAACAGAAGGAGCAGTTTACGCAAAGACATGAGAAACTTTAACATTAAGGAATACCAAATATCTCAATTTGAGAAGTTGGGTCACAGTAAGGAATGCATGAAGAGAAACTGCAGGAAGATTTGTTTAAATTAGTGGCTCTCAACACTGGTTTTCACCACAGCTACACCAGTGACTGGGTTGTGTTCACAGAATGTGGGCATTTGTCTGGAGTAAGCCTGGTACATTGCATTTCTAGAAAGTTCTCTAGATTATGCTGATGCTGCTGGTCTTGGGACCCCACTTTGAGAACCACTATCTTAGTAATGTGGATTCTGCTGCAGTGATTCTGAATCACTATATGGAAGTTATTTTTGAGGTCACCAAAGATCACCAACTGTAAAATCCAATGAACTGATTATTGGTCTTTATCTCTTGACCAGTTTGCAGCACTTGACAGCATTGATAACTTCAGTGGCCTTCAAACTATTGCCCAGCTTCTCTCAGTCAATTCACTACACTAAACCCCAGAGCGTAAGTACACTCCATCACTTAATGCTAAAAAAGAACTAATGGCTCCCTATTCCCTGTAGTGTCCACAGACTGGAATAAAAAACCCTTGACCTTTTCTCTGCATTTCCTTCTCTCCTGCTGCTGCCCCATATAGCAAGCACATGCTCATCAAATCGCCAACCACTGCCCTGAGCACTGTGTGCTCAGCTGTCCTCACCCCTGGGCATGAACTTCTATCCTTTGCCTGAATGCCCTCCTCCCTCCTCTCCCTAAACCATCAGCCCATCATCCCTTCAATTATGGAATCCCAGGTCAAGGTCTCAGCCAAATGTCATCTCCTTTGTAAAATTCCTCAGCTTTGTGGCTCTTCCCCTAAATCCCACTACAGGTGGTTTCTATTATATATACCACTTCTATTACATACATCATTTATATTACAAATACTGTTTGGCAATTAGCTGAACATGTGACTGCTGTGTTGGGAATGTAATAAGTGCACATTCTTTCTTATTATTTTTGTTATTCTCCTAGATGATATTCCATATAAGTGTATTGAGTGAATTTGAGAACAGAACAGAGCCTCAGTAAATAATGACTTACTGTCTTCACAGTGGAACTAAGCTGTGGGCAGGTAGGCAAAGGAGAGGACACAATGAAACTTCATTAATTGCAAAAGTCAAATGTGCCACCTCACAACCACCTGACTCTCCAGTTGGAGAGCTGAACCACAGCTTTTTATTTCTTTTGACTCTTTCTTTGATGACACAGTGGTTTGTCAGCTCTGTGAACCAGGCAGTTATGCAGCTGCCTCTCTTGCCTTTGAAAAAATACTTGCAGGGATGTTGAGGGGAATGGATCCAGCACCACTGCAACCTCTGTGGAATGAGCAGGAAAGATTTTGGTACCCTGGCTTGGTGCATGTACCAGTAACAGTAGCGGCCCTTTACCTCCTCTTCCTATTCTACTGGGAAGGAAGGTCGAGAAATTCTTTCTCCAAGAAAAACAGATCCTGACTGCTGCCATTCTTGTTCTCCCTCTTTCTTTTACCCCTGCACATATCTATTTCAGTAGTGGCCAGATCCTGCAGAAATGAAATAGACCTGAGTTAGTACATTGTCTAGGAGTACCATATAGCTGTGGAACGACCTATCGGGAACCTTTGTCTCCTGTTTTTCACCACCTACAGATATCCTTATGAGAGGAGCCATTTACATAGTGATTCATATGTGCTAGATGTTTTGCATATCTAATCGCATTAAGTCTTCCCAAGTTTTCCAAAAGGTAGGTATTTTTCCCTCCATTTAATGGATAAAGATATTAAGGCTCAAAGAAATTAAATACCTCGTGCGAGATCAACAAACTGCCAGGTGGTAGGGATAGGATTTGAATTCAAGTTGCAGTAATCCCAAAGCCTTTATGCCATTTTTGGAAACTGCAAAGACTGAAGGTTACACAATCAACCAAAGTCACAGCAAGAATTAAATTTTAGGGCTGGGGATACAGTTCAGGTACTGCATTTGATTCCCAGTCCCCTCCTCAACTTAAATTCTATGTGTCTTGATTTCCAGGGAAGCCTATAATATCAACTAAATTGAAAGAATTATTTGGAAGTGTGCTGAGAGGTGCAGGTATTTACAGAATTTAAGAAAAAATTGATGCTGCAATGTGAAAATGACCCAGAATTGGAAATGCTGTCTGATGACTCACTGGTGTCCCTTGTCTTTACTCTCCTTTAATTAGTAGGCCCTCTCAGTTGAACACCCCTGAGCAGAGATGCTTCTCTAAACTCTATATATTTACCTGTGATTTGGATCCTTCTGAGAGAAGAACTTCTATAACATTTCCTTCTCAGCAGGGCATGGTGGTGTGTGCCTATCGTCCTAGTACTTGGGAGGTTTATGTAGGATGATTGATATGAATTTGTGACCAACCTAACCTATGCAGTGGGTTAAAGCCTAGCCTGGACTACATAATGAGGCTCTGTCTCAAAAAAACATATATTTCTCCTCATCTACTCTCTCTGAACTATAGAGTGCAATAACCCATATTCATTAAAACAGTGACAAGGTATTTTTTCCTGGTCACCTTGATACCTAAAATTTTCCTGAATATTTCTTTGTTCAGCTTGATTTCTTGGCATTATGAATAAATAGAGCTAGTGATAACATCCACTGTAGAGTTAAGCACACAAAGTGGGTGACAAAGTCAACAAGAAGCTGAAAGTGAGATTTGCCATGAATAAGCTGCCAAGAGTTGACTGTACCTTCTAACTGGACACTGTAGCTCATTCATCTTCCTCCTTCAGCTTTCCAACCCAACAACATCATCCCTGCTTCAGGGATCACAACCCCAGCAGGAAAGCCGGAGGAAAGGAAAGCACTCAGGAGTCAAGTATAAGAGATGAAGACATAGCTTTGGGGATCTAAGATGAAATGCAAAGACTCAGCAGGAAATTCTTAATGAGTCTATGAAAGAACAAAGAAGAGAATTTTCAAAGCCAAAACAGACCAGCAAAAGTCACATATAGGTGGAATAAGTAGATACAGAGATTGCTGGATTTCCTTTAAGCAGCATTCTGTTTTCTCATCTTATCTTACCTTCAGCTCAGCTAAAGAACTTCTGGAGTCTGTCAATGATTCAAAGACTTGAAATTGTTTTTCTTGGATTATCCCCACTCCAGTAATTTTCTTGCCTCTCTTTTCAAAAGTAGGTTAAGGATGTTCAGGCTTTTCTCCAGCATCTTAATGAGTTAGTCATGATTACAATTGCATCTTTTAAATTGCCCAACCCATTGAAAGGGTGCCATGAAAGAGCTTCTACAAACACACTGTAAGCAGTCCTTTTCATTGTCTTTCTTGTGTTGCAAAATATGAGCAAAGACTTACCTCCAAGAGGATAATTAGCTTAACAAGTGCTGCAGCAGATGGGCAGGCTAATGTCCCTATGGAACATATTGCTGCTGTTTCTGCAGAAACATACATAGGGAGACTGAAATGAGAACAAAATCCTAGCTAATAAGTTTGAAGGGGTTTCACACAGCACATTCGCTTGCTGGGTTGCAGTCCTCTCCAGATGATACGGCTTCCTCCATTTTCTTCCTTGCTTCTCTCCTAACATCGTCACCTCTCGCCACATTTCTCATCTCCTTCCTCATCATCATCATGATAAGGAAACTTTCTAGACTTCAATAAAAAAAATTCTCACCCATGAAATTTTAATATCACAGCATAGTGGTTAACTTTATGTGTCAACTATACTGGTCTGAGGATTACCTATAATGTTAGTAAAATATTATTGGGAATGTGCTTGTACAGGTGCTTCCAGAATAGATTAGCAATTGAATTGGTAGACTGAGTAAAAATTACCTTACTAATATGGGTGAACATCATCTAATAGGTGGAGGAAGGGTGAGTTTGCTCTTCTGGAGGAAGGGAATCCATCCTCTCCTGTCCTCAGACATGAGAGTTCCTGATTCTTCAGCCTTTAGAGTCAGGCTGCAGCTTACTGGTTGGTTCCCCTGATTTCCAGGCACTCTAGCTTGGACTGGAATTTACCAGTGGCCTTCTTGGACCTCCAGACTGCAGACAGCAGGTCATGGGACTTCTTGGTTTTCATAATCTCATGACTTATTCTCTCATAACTCTATCTATGTATTCTATCAGTTCTGTTTCTCTGGAGAATCCTGACTAATACACACAGATGTATTGTGATAGTAGTTTACATACTCTGCATACATGTATGTGCATCTTATACACTTAGAATTACTAGCCAGGCATGGTGGCACATACCTGTGATCCCAGCAATCAGAATGCTGGGGCCGGAGGATTGTTATGAGTTCAAGACCAGTCTAGGCTACATACTGAGATTGTCTCAAAAAATCCAAATTAATTAACTTTTAAGGAATTTCCCAAATACCATTGTATGCATGACATACTAGACTGATCTAGGGCACAATAGATGTAGATCTCAAAAAGAGATGTGAGGCAAAATCAACTTGGTCAAAAATCAAGGCAGGTGGCAAGCATAGAATTTTGTCTAGATAAATCTTAGTATGGATCAAGACATACTGCTGTACATAAAGCTTAACCAAGCAGAACATAGATTTAAAAATGCAGCTGGAGATAACATTGGTGGAAGACATGGGAGCAAGGTTTAACGCAGGCAGAGCCTGGAGGATTTTCATCCACCAGATCAGAAAAGGCCTTTTACAGAGCAATTCTGTCATCCAGAAGTGTTCCAGAAGTGGAAGAGAAATTATTCTGAGTTTTGAAGTCTGACTTAGACATTTTGCCTTTGATTCTAAAGAGCATGGACCACAAAGCTGACTGTGTCACACTGATGATAATCTATGGTTATGATGGTCATGTTGCTCCCCACATCATAGGGCTCCCCATATTGATCCCTGTGCATCAGATAAAAGAGCCAGGCCTTGTGACTTACTTAGAGCTGGATTACAATTTCAATGTCCCTGGTATTCAAGCACTTTGAAAAGTTATGAAGAGATATAAGATCTGATCTTTCTTCTTCTTTAATTTAGCTGCTAGAGATCCTTTTTCTCCTGACCTAAAAGCAGGAGCAGACTCAGTACCCCAGCTGAAGCAGCCCACAAGGTGTGTTTCCTACAACCCTTAAATTTCTTAATGGTCAAATCCAACAGCCTTTTCAGTCGATTTCCAGGAGCACAGCTCAGTGTGTGCAATGCCCATGCTCGTCTCTTAGACTAGTGGTCAGCAGCTAGCTCCAGCCTTCTTCTCACTCTGCTACTTAGAATTATTTATTTATTTATTTATTTATTTATTTATTTATTTATTTTTGAGACAAGATCTCTCTATGTAATTCAGACTGGCCTTGAGCTCATCATGTAGCCTAGACTGACCCTGAACTCACAGCTATCCTCCTGCCTCAGCCTGCCTACTGCTGGGATTACAGGAGTGCACCACTACACCCATCCCTCCTAGAGTCTTCTGCATGCTTTCTCCAAGTGTCTTCTTAGTTTCATATTCACTCCTTTTTGCCAACGGCACTTTTTTATCTTTTGGTCCTCTTCTTTTGCCTTCCACGAGCATCTGTTTGTATGTTCAGTGAAATTTAATAAACATTACCTAAAAGTAAAAATAAATTTTGTCAAGTCATATGCCTGACACATTTTTATACATTGATTCTTGAATAGGTATAAATAAAATCACAGATGTGGTGGCATGTGCTTAAAATCTCAACACTTGGGAGACCGAAGTAGGATTGCTATGAATTTGATTCCAGCTTGGACCACATAGTGAGTTCAAAGCCAGCCTGAACTACATAGCGAACCCCTGTCTCAATAAGCCAAAACAAAAACCAAAACAAAACCAAGCAAAACATAACATAAAATGCTTGCAATTCAAATGAAGAGGTCATTAATTCTATCTTGAGAAGATCATAAAAGGCATTGCTAAAGAAAATACTGATCTATGATCTATGCATTAAGAATGAATAAGGAACCACAAAATGGAAAAGACAAATGAAAACCATTACAGATAGATGAGGATGAGCAAAATAGTGCACAATTCAGAAGAGTCTGAAGTTTAAGCGGTTGGAGATGAAGGGGTGAGTGTGAGCTGGGGGGGAGGAAGTGCTGACCCCAGAGTCAGGACCACGTTGTTCCTTCAGTAATCAGCTAAATCTTCATGCTTGGTAACATGGAAACAGGTCACTGCAGTGCCCTGCACATCACTTTGCATAAAGTTTGCTCAAACTTACCACCTATTCTGCAATACGCAAGTTGCTGGTGACGTAAAGATAAATAAGCTGTCCACTCAAGACCTCAAAGTATTAGACGTCTAGACTGTCTTTCCCGGTTTCTTAGACATTTTTCCAAATTCTGATCTTTCTGCTCCTCAGTCTGGTCTCTGCTTTATAGCTAAGACAACTTATTCAGTGTTCAACAGATACTTATTAATGTGTATCATGTGCCAGATATTCTGGGGATACTGGAGGGGAAACTAGCCTAAATTTAATGTAGAAGCTCTTATAAGGTAATTTCCAGCATATCCACCTCCAATTCACATCTTCTACAATGACTCCTTCCCTTTTCTTCTCACTTCATAAGTACTTTTTCTTAATGTATACTGTCCACTTCCTCATTCCAAATTAGCAGTAAGAAGTCTAAACTTTCAATATTGATCTAAAATGTTGCTTCTCAAACTATTGATGGGAGTTAAATTTTTTATTTTACTTTAAAAAAATTTCTAAACTTGTAGTCTGACCTTCTGCACGGGTCATGGCCCTTGTTACTCACTGTGTGGATTCACGCACCAGATCTGTCCTTACTTGGTTCAGTCATATAAGGCTACCTATGACTTGCTTGTGTGTCACAACAGTCTTGATTCACCCTCAAAATTGCTAAATTCTTGCTCTTGATTTTAACACCATCCTCAGAGCACATGTTAAGCATTCATATTTATTCTCTTAGTAAAACAATTTTAAGGAATTTAGAACAAAAAAGAATTTTTTTTGGTTTTTTGAGACAAGGTCTTAATATGTAGCATGGCTTGAACCCATTACGTAGCCCTAGCTTGTCTTGAAATCTCAGTGATCCTCCTACCTCAGCCTCCCAAGTGTTTTAGAGGTGTATGTTGCCATGCACAGTCAAATGTTTTTAAATACTTCATTATATAGTAATAGGTTTATTAACCTTACCCACTGAAGCCTACTGGTTATGCTAGCTTGTATTTTTCCTATAGACCCTGGACTGCTTAAAGGTAGGAGAACAAACAGCCCTGGGACTGACTATCGTTTGGCACATCATCTGTTTAATTTTTTCTTTTACTTCTCTAATCAGCTACTTCCTTAACCTAACTTCAATTCATATAAATGAAGAAAAACTTAATGTAAAACACAGTTCTTTTTTAAAGATTTTTCAATTCTTCATCAAGCTCTTGCCAGAGAGAGTCAGATCAACCACCTCAGTTTCTTTGCCAGCCCTAATTAGATGAAGCCATTTAGCATAAATCACAGTGTCAATTCAACCTCAGGTTTATGAATTGTATGGGACTAGGAAAGAGAAGGAGCCTTTTGTCTTTGATTTACTGGCTCAAAACTGGGGCTGGCTTATGCTGGACTTCCTCCAGCCTCCAATGAGTATGTCTGCAACCTTTTATTACAGCTCTTTCAGGATTTTTTTTCAGTACTTATCATGAGTATCTTTCCTTTATTTTGACACTACCAACTCTTCCTTTTCTGTGGACAAGCTCACTTTTTCTGTGGCTTTAGTGGCTGCACATTGAATTTAATCCTGTTTCTGTGTTGAGTCCAGTTCAGTCATAGTGACCTCATTCCCTTTCCTCCTTTCCAAGGGCCTCATCTTAGACCTTCTCTCCATTCTTTCCAGAGGGTTCTATCCTGTCCTCTGGACTCAGTTATTATCTAATGTACTCCTGACCTAAATACTTTCCTGAGTTTGAGACATGTAATTTCAACAGCTTTCTCAACATCTTCATTGAAGTATCTCCCAAGCAACTCTACCTTATTCTGACTTCCACAGCGGGACAAAACCATCTGCTTAAGTATTCAAGCTAAACACTTGGAATCACTCTTGACTCTTCCTTCCCCTCATTGCTCATCTTCAGCCAGTTACTGCTCACCGTTCCATCACTGCTGGGCTCAATCCAGTTATTCACTCCATGAAGCTGGTCTTTGTTACTTCTCACTTGGACCATTTTCAGTTTCTGTAGCTCTGTCTCAGCAATGTCCTAGCTAGACTCCCAGCTGTCTGTCTCTCCAACTCCAGAGCAGCCTCTCGCTACCCCTGGGGCTCACACAGGCAAATATGTCACTTAAATTTCTGAATACTGGCCTTGAAAAGTCTTCTTTTTTTTAGATATTTACAATAACACTAAAACTCCGTTCTTTCCATGCACTGTCATGTGTACCTACTTCTACTGTAACATCAACAAAAATCCCCATATGCACAGTCCTTCCTGTCAGGTATCCTCAACATTTCCTAAACATGCTACTTTTTCGCCATTTCTCAGGTCGCTGCCCCTCTGTGTGTTCTTCTTCCATGTAGTTACAGACCAACCTCTGCCTTCTCCCTTGTGGTCTATGATTCATTTATTTAGTGCATATGCTTCAGCTTCTGGGGTGATACCTCCAAGGTCACTGCTCTTTCAAGTGCATTCCCATAGCCCCTTAGGCCTTCAATAGGTAGTTCATTAAGTGATGTGTGATGTTATTGTTGTTAAATACAGGGTCTCCTAGCCGGGTGTGGTGGCTCACGCCTGTAATCCCAGCACTTGGGAGGCTGAGGTGGGAGGATCTTGCGAGTTCAAGACCAGCCTGGGCTACAAAGTGAGCTCAAGGCCAGCCTGAACTGCATAGCGAGACCCCATCTCAAAAAAGACAAAAAAAAAAAAAAAGACAGGGTCTCCCTCTGTAGCCCTGGTGGCCTGAAACTTGCTAAGTTCCCCAGGAGTGGTGATGGAGGAGATCCTTCCATGCATTCCAGAAGGGCACACCATGAGCAAAGCCTGGCAGGATAAAACAGCTTATCATATTTACAGAAGAGCAATCTGCTCTGTGGCTAGATCTCGGACATCAAAATAGACAAGAAGTTGAAGAACAACGGTCTTTATCTTACAAGCAGTAAGAAGCCACTCTAGAATTTGAAGCAGGCACAGACATTCAACAATATGATTTTTTTTTTTTTTTTTACAAACTGTCATTATGCTGTTAAGGCTGATCTTGAATTCACTATGTAGCCCAAGATGGCCTTAAGCTTGTGGCAGTCCTCCAGCCTCAGCCATCTGGGGACTGGTATTACAGGCATATGCCACCATGTTTGACAGCAATTTGAATCTTTAGAAAGATCATTCTAGCAACAGAGTGCACTATAATTTTCAAGGGTAGCATACATATCTGCTCTCCCTATTCAGCTATAAGCTTCTTGATGTCAAGTAGTATTTGCTTTTTATTTTGACTTCCCAGTGTCTACCACACTCATTCACATGATGTTGGTGCTGGAGCAGGGTCCAAATCAGGGAAAGGAACTTCTAGGTGGGCTGCGTCCTAGTGCAGGGGCACATCAGCAAATCGCTCCTTGCTTGTGTTTCTCATCTATAAAATGGTGACCTGTACAAGCTCATCTTTCAGTTCTCTTTTGCTCTAAGGTTCTGTAATTATACAAGGGAGGTTCCTTTTTTTCACTTTGCAGTCAATATTTGATGAAACAAATAACAGTTTACAGAGGTGTCAAGAGGTTAATGTACCATGAAGTACAGGTTGACTTAAAGGTTACATAAGCTGTACCTTAAATAATGTGAATGATTCTAGTTAAATGAGTCACACACCAAAATTCTATGTGCTGTGGGGATACAAAACTACCTCTTCGAATGTTTCTTCCTTTTTAAAGAAAATAAATAGGATTTAGGTTATTATTGCTACACGCTGTTAAGGGATAAGGTCAGTCCCTAACATTGAAAAGAAAAAGTGATAAGGCCAATACTTTTGTTTGTACCAGGGATTGAATTCACTACCGTGTGCTTGCCAGGCTGGCACTGTGCTGCTGAGCTGTACACCTGGCCCCTACAGTTTTTAAAACATGAGAAGCCATAGAGAAACCCAGCAATCTTACCACTAAACCTGGTTCTATGCTTATCAGCTCAGCAGAGCTCTGTCAGGCTCCCCCTGTGCCCGTCACAGTTCTCACTTGTCTTGACTTAGTAGAAAATTCCCTGACATTTCTGCCTTCTCAGCATACTATTGGCCTGATCACCAGAACATAAAATCCAGGCTCTTCAGGAGTGGAGCCTATTTATATGGACAAAAAGAAGCAAGAGTTTCTCTTAGTCTCCGTGTTATTTCATCTTACGGTTTTTTTTTTTTTTTTTTTTTTTTTCTTAATTGGGAATTGAACACAGGGCTTTCACACTGAGCTGCAGTCCCAGCCATTTATAAAATGTTTTTGAATTTTGAGCTGAGATCTCACTGAGTCATTGAGCTACCCAGACTGGACTCGAACTTGCATTCCTGCCTCAGTTTCCCCAGAGTGCTGAAATTATAGGCATATGCCACCACACCTGGATTTTTCTTTTATCTTGATGATGTTATTGCCTTCAATTCTCTTGAA